GTATTTTGGTAACACATTATATTTAATAACTAATTAATTCAAACAGTTATGAAATAACATTAAGTTTCTAGAATCTTAACTATTACACTAAAAGGAGCATTTCTTGTAATCACATTCAGTATTAAATTAATACTGAATTGGAATGTTCAAGTGCTCCACAAAATATTTACAGTGCATTAAAGTTCTCATATTTATATGGCTGCCCATCTCAATGAACATGAGTCTGGTCCGCATATAACCAACAATTAAAACAACGTCATAGCTTAAAAAATATAAATAAAAGCAAGGCTGCAGGACAAGAACATTAATCTAAACATATAATATAACCATAATGGAGGCATAATATATTTGCAATATATTACTTTGCAACTGATAATGTCACAGTGTAAAAAAGATTAAAAAAAACATGGTCAGAATTTTATGCTATATACTCCCATGCATGGATTATCTGAATGATTACACTCTCAAAAGTTTACTTTATGCAGTCGTCCAATGAAAAGGCAGATGAAAACAGATTAAAATAAATCCATCTCTTCTAGCCTACTTTAAGGCTTCTCAAATTCATATTCATAAGCAGGAATGACAACAACATAGCTTTCATTGCCACAGTAGAGAAAAGGAGTACAACAAAAAGACAGAAATGTCACATCATCATATGTGAGTATTTTCTTCAGAACATAAGATAGACAGACCTTTGAAAACCCATCTTGGAATTTGAAATCCAGAGAGGAAGCTAAAACCATCATTATCATCATGAGAAAATACCTATTACAATCTTATCTCAGCACACAAATCAGCAAGATGACTGCATTTGTACTATGCAGAAACAGCCAGGAAGAAATGCTTTTGGTCAGTTTTGGCTGGTTCACCAGTTATGACCTATTCTAGAATGAGATGCAGCAGCCAAGGTCTCTTATGTTCTTATCAACTCATATTTAGATTACAGTACTACAATTTTCTCTAAGTGGAGCTGCCCCTTAAAACACTTGAAACCTTCAACTGGGAAAGAATCCAGCTCCTTGTCTGGTCTCTGGTGGAAGTTGGCATAATCATGTTAACAATCCCCAATTACAGGAGCTGAACTGTTTGTTATTTTTTTTTTTCTGGTACAATTCAAGAACTTGTTAAAACCTTATATGGCTTAAGTCCAGGAGATCTTCATCTGTTCCAAACTATTCAATTCAGAAAGAAGACATGCGGCAGGTCCCAACCCTAACAGAAATACATGGAGTGAGGCCCCAGAAGTGTGTTTCTTTCTAAACCTTTGAAACAGTTTGCTACTGAAATCTGTTAATATTCAGAAAGAAGCAGTTAAAACACTGCTTTTCCACCAAGACTTCCAGGGATAATATTTTATCCTTTTCTGATGAAATCAGCTAGCTAGTATATGGGAATGTTTATAACTGATATTATGGTGGACTGTTTCCAAAATAAAAATCACAAAATATTCTGGGGTATTGCAATTTAAGTTTCCTATAGTAAATAGCCTGAGATATCATACAAGGCTAAATCTATAAATAATTAATATCATTTCATCTACACTTATTGTACCAACTACATCAAGTAGTTCTTACATTGAAGGAAATATTAACATAAATTTGTATATTATTAGTGAAGTAAGTCACAATGTGACTGAACAAAGGCTGTTTGGGTTTACAGTACAATTCTATGCAAGTTTATTCAGAACAAAGACTCCGAGTACCAAGTAGAAGAAATTAATAAAAACTGGAAGGCCACCAGTTTTATGATTGTATGAACACCTAGAAGTTGTATGAAAAGAGAGACTGGAGAGAAAATATTCAAAATAATGAAGAAAGGCATATACTCTTCCCCTTTTCTTATTTTTAATTTTGCTCTTCATTTTAGATTTTGGACAAAAAATTTAATAACTTCTTTTATTATTTGATATTATGAAATTACATTTTCCCAACATTTGTTCTTAGCATTTTTATATCTGAAAATGATTGATCACACTGAAATATTTGCACAATGTTGGCAACACTTGCATTTTCAAGAGATATTGAGGGAGTATTGCACATTTTTCAGGCAATGGTGTGAATGGTATTCTCGTAAGGCATACACATTTATCTAAGATAAACATATTTAGTAGGAATTTCAATTTAATAAAAGAGCAGCTATGTAATTATATACTTATTCTAAATCTTAATGAGAAAAATACTGCATGATTTTAGCCAAAGTTTTAAAAGAAGATAATAGTCTTTTAAGTTCACAGAAATACTATACCGATCTGAGATTTGTACTCTTTCAAGGACTAGATTTTTTAGGCATGTCTTTAAAGACATGTAAGGATGATATAACAAATTGATTATATTTTATCTCTTTTCTGTGGAAATTTGGTTAAAACAGCTTACTATTTTTAAGTTGTATATGAATAAAAGATAAATTTAAAATAATCCTAATGGCCAACAAAATAGAAGCAGAGCAATTAAGGACGAGGGGGGACATGATAGCAGTATTCCAGTATCTCAGGGCTGCCACAAAGAAGAGGGAGTCAAGCTATTTTCCAAGGTGCCTGAAGGCAGGACAAGAAGCAACAGATGGAAACTAATCAAGGAGAGAAGCATCCTAGAACTAAGGAGAAACTTCCTGACAGTTAGAACAATTAACCATGGAACAACCTGCCTCCAGAAGCGGTGAATGCTCCAACACTGGAAGTTTTTAAGAAAAGACTGGACAGCCATTTGTCTGAAATGGTATAGGGTTTCCTGCCTGAGTAGGGGGTTGGACTAGATGACCTCCAAGGTCCCTTCCAACTATCATCATCATCATCATCATCATCATCATCATCATCATCATCTATTTTTAAAAGCCTTTAATAACAATATCTACAGGACTGCTGTAATATAACCATATTCAGCATGTTTATAAAAATGAATAATGGAGTAAGGTGGGCCTTCTTCAAGTCTGCTAATTCTTAAAAGCCAATTTGTACAAGCCTTGCTGCTCTTATTTAGTAACTGTACTACTAATGTGAAAAGCAGAAATTCATTGGCTATTTTGAGTGTCTTGATGGAGATGTTTTCTAGTCTTTTCTATAGTCATGGTCTCAATCAGAATTTATCAATATCTTGGAGAGGGAGGGCTTCTCTCAACCATTGTAAGTAAGCAAATTTTGTTATCTCTCATAGAAGATTGAACTTTTAAAGGAATACAGAAACTGGGAAAGACAGAGGCCTTTATTCCAAACTCAACTCTTAGGTATTATTCCTTTCTGTTCACCACTCTGCAAAATTTACAACAATTATTAAAAGCATAGACCACACTCCACCAAAACACAGCTCTCATATTTACCATTTCAAGTAAATTCATATTAGTTTAATTTCTTAAAACCCAGTTTTTCTCTTGAGCTATTAAATAAATAAATCTTAAGTGATCACACAAACATGATGTGAAAATACCCAACAGGCAGAAGGAAAAATGTCACTAATGACTCAGCAATTTAAATAAAATCTGTGATGCTAATATAAGGCTGTAGTGATTCACCAATTTATCTGTGACAGAATCACTTGCTTTACTCAGAATACATTGAAGAAATGAATTTAGGTTTAAATTAATTAGCAGCTTCTTTAGCTAACTTAAGGTTATGGATGGTTTTATCTTTGCTTAATTACAGATGCATAATAAATAGCTGATATTATTGGTGATGAGAATATAAAATCTAAACAATAAAAGAAAGCATATCCTCACTTATAACAGATATGATCTGCAGTTGTCAGCCCTTCATGGTAATCCAGACAGGGAAACCAAAACTAGTGCTAGATAGTACTATCTTTATTATAAGGGTATAATAACAGAGTCTAACAAGCTAAAAGCTCTTCGCCCCTCTCCTGCCTTTAATTTTCCAATCCAGGATAGTGACTTGGTTCATTAGTTTTAATATGACTTTAATAATTCTGAATAACTAAAATTATCATAACATTTAATGAAACATTATTCTGTTCAATCATGTCCAATTCTCAGAGACTGCCTTGGAAAGTCCCTGCCGTTTTCATAGCAAAGTTTTTCAGAAGTGGTTTGCTATTGCCTCCTTCCCAGGACTGAAAAAAACTGACTGGCCCAAGGTCACCCAGCTGGTTTCATGCCAAGAGCAACCATTTGAATGGGATAGTAGTATAAAGTTCCTGCCTTGAGCAGGAGGTTGGACTAGAAGGGGCGTTGTCTTACCTGAATGCCTTTTCTCAGCATGATGATGGAGAATCCACAAATGTGTTGTCTTAATCTTCCTGCTCCAATAAGACTAAGTCTGAAGTGTAGAACCGCCTCTGCTGTGCCATCTGCACCCCAGTTTAGACTAAGGCGATATACAGACTTTAGTCCGATGCTTCTGCTTTCCTGATATCGGAACCAGGGCCAACTGACCCTAAGGGGAGGGAGTGGATTCTCCATCATCATGCTGAGAAAAGGCATTCAGGTAAGACAACGCCCCTTCTCCACCATGATTGGATGGAGAATCCACGAATGGGACATACCAAACCCCTGTGTCCCTAAGGGAGGGAAGTAGTTTGGGCCTGGGTCCCATCAGATGCCAATGCGTGTTCTAATACATTGCAACCAAATGAGGCATCGGAGGAGGCATATTTGTCAATCTTATAGTGACGGACAAAGGATGAGGGTGAGGATCATGTCGCTGCCCTACAGATCTCCTCTATGGATGTCTGGGTCGCCCAAGCCACCGAAGTAGCGGCGCCCCAGGTGGAATGGGCTGTGATATGTCTAGGAACTTGCAGTGACTGAGTCTGATATGCAAGAGTGATACAAGCCCTAATCCATCTCCCTATTGTCGAGGAAGAAACCTTCTGGCCCAAGGATGAAGGCTGAAAGGACACAAACAATGCCTCAGACCTACGGAAGGGCGAAGTTCTCTGAATGTAACATTGTAGGGCCCTGCGAATGTCCAGTGTGTTCCACTGCATCTCTATGTCATTGGATGGGTTAGGACAGAAATCCAGTAAAATCACCTCTTGGGATCTATGGTACAAGGAATTTACCTCGGGCATAAAGGAAGGGTCTAGTCTGAGAGTTACCTTGTTGTCATGGAAAATACACAGGTATCTGACTGAAAGAGCGGCCAGTTCGGAAATTCACCTGGCTGATGTTATTGCAACAAGGAATGCCACTTTCATAGATAACAGTTTAAGCAAACATGTGGCAATAGGCTCGAAGGGCGATGAAACGAGTGCCTGTAAGACCTGGTGAAGGTCCCACGAGGGGTATCGATGTACCTTCGGTGGCTTGATGTTGGTTGCTCCTTTTAAGAAGGAACGAACCATGGAATGAAGTGCCAGGGGAACGGCATTATCACATGTAATTACCGTAGCAAGCGCTGCTACCTGTCTACGGATGGTGTTTGGGGATAGCCCTTTGTCCAACCCATCCATCAGAAATTCCAATACAATCGGCACGGAGATAGCCGATAGCTCAACCTTGTGACCTGAGCAACAAGTGCAGAAGCTCCTCCAAGTGGCATCATATATCCTATTCGTTGAGGGGCACCTGGATTGTTGAATCATAGCTATCACCCTTGATGAATATGAGTCTCGGCTTAAGGCCCACCTCTCAAGTGCCAAACGGTTAGCTGGAGCCACTGCGGGTCTGGGTGCTGTAGTTCCCCCTGAGTGAGGGAGATACGCCCTGCTGGGATCCTCCACGGAGGGGAGATGGAGAGCTCCATCAGGTCGGCGAACCACGGACATCTCGGCCAGTGTGATGCAACTAAGATGACCTCTGCCTGTTCGTATAGTGTCTTCCGGATTGTGGCGGGAAGAAGTGGTAAGGGAGGAAAGGCATAAAGCAGTTCCCTGGGCCAGGGGCTGCGGAGAGCATCTGTTGCTTCCGCTGTCGGAGACGGGAACCTGGAAAAGAATCTTGGGAGTTGGGAGTTGGATGGGGAGGCAAAAAGGTCTAAGGTTGGGGAACCAAACCTGTCCACGATCTCCCTGAACACTCTTGGGTCCAGTCGCCATTCGGCATGGTCCACAGTAGCTCTGCTCAATGAGTCCACCTGTTGATTGGTCACTCCGGATATGTGTTCCGCCCTGATGGAAGCAAGATTCAACTCCGCCCAAGACCCCAACAACTGGGCCTCCTGCATGAGAGGCCTGGACCTTGTCCCCCCCATGTCTGTTGACATGGGCCTTGGCAGCAATGTTGTCGGTAAGAACCAGGACATGCTGACCCTGTACTATGCTGCTGAATTTTTCTAGAGCCAGATGTATGGTTGATTTCCAGCCAGTTTATATTGTTTTTCAAATCCTCTTTGGACCACCGACCCTGAGCCCAATGTGACTGGAGATGTGCTCTCCAGCCAAATAGGCTGGCGTCTGTGGTGAGGGTGATCCTGGCTGGTTCTCTGAATTCTGTGCCCCATGACAGTGCTGGGGAATCCCACCAACGAAGGGAGTTCAACGCCGGCTGTGGAACTCGGACCTTCTGGTTGGAGGCGCTGATGTGAAGCCTCTGAAATGGAAGAAGAAGCCACTGCAGTTCCCGGGCATGAAGACGTGCCCATGGAATAATCTGTACGCAGGACACCATCTTCCCCAGGAGCTGTGACAACAAGACCAATGTGACCACCCTGTCTTTTCGGATCCAATGTACGAAGGCCTGAATGGAGTCCCGTCAGTCCTGTGATAGATAGACCATACGATTGTTCGTGTCTATAATAGCGCCAAGGTGGAGGAGCTGGGTTGAGGGCACGGTGTGACTTTTCTGGAAATTGACAGAAAACCCGTGCTCCTGAAATGTTTTGATGGCTAGGGCGAGGTCTGACTAGGCACTCTGGAATGAGGAGGACTGTATTAATATATCATCCAGATAGCACTGGACTCTGATTGGAGATTGTCTGAGGTGAGCGGCCAGAACTGCCAGTACCTTTGTGAACACTCTAGGTGCTGAAGAGAGGCCAAATGGTAAGGCTCTGTACTGGTAGTGTCGTTGGGCATAACTAAACCTGAGGAATTTGCAATGACCAGGAAGAATAGGGATATGCAAAAATGCCTTAGTCAGGTTTATTGATGTAAGGAAGTCCCCTTGTCTGATGCTGGCTAAGATAGACTGTAGTGACTGCATCTTGAACTTCCTATACATCAGATAATAATTTAGACCTTTTAAGTCTAAGATTGCCCCCCAGCCCCCCGAAGACTTGGGAACGACAAAAAGATTTGAGTAGAGCCCTCGTCTTTTTTGGTCCTGCAGTACCGGCTCTATGGCCTGTATCTGTAAAAGGTGAGCTATGGCCTCTGACATGAGGGCTGCTCTAGTCTTGCTTGTGGGAATAGGGCAAGACCGGAAGCTGGACCAAAACTCCAGCATCAGACCCTGAGTAACGGTGTTTAATACCCATGAGTCCATAGTAGTGGCTGCCCATGTGTTGGAATAAAGGGACAGCCGGCCTCCTATAGGAGGGGAGTCTGTGAGATCACTTGCCTCGTTTGAAGGACCGTCCTCCTGCGCCTTGAAAAGGCCGCTTGGTCTGGACCTGTGGTCGATTTCTGTATGTGGAACAGTTTTGCTGTCGCTCTGGTCTCTGGAAGGAGGTGCAAGAGGCCTGGACCCAGTCCTAGGTGGAAGCTGGCTGAAAGGGCTGCCTGCGGTAATTACTTTGTAAAGATCCGGCCCCTGAGCGCTTATCTCCCTTCTTTGTTGTATTAACGAGAGTCTTGCGCTTGTCCTTACCTTCTACTAGGTAAGGATCGAGGGCCATGCCAAAAAAGTGTCCCCTGTGTAAGGCTTAGTAGCGAGACGCCACTTGGCCTTGATGTCTGCCCGCCAGTTCTTAAGCCATAGAAGTCTGCGTGCTGAAATGTCTGCTGCAATGGCTCGTGCAGTGTATCTGGCCATTTGTAAAGAGGCGTCAGCCATATACTGGGATGTGGCCACCAACTTACCCAGATTTTGGTGAACTCTGATCTGGTCCGGAGGAATTATGTCCTGGGGTTCACGCAGCCACAGTACTGAGGCCCGAGCGAAGAAGGCCATGGATGTGGAGGCCTTGGTCGCCCAGGCTAATGTCTGATAGGATCTACATACGGCAGCCTCAATTTTTTTGTCCTCTGCCTTAAGCGCCTTGTTTATGTCCCCTGGAATGCTAGCATTTGAAAACAGGGAATTCAGAGGGTCATCAATTTGAGGGACTTCCAATAAGGAGGCCAAGGAGGGGGCCACATTGAACAAGATTTTTTCTATAGATCCCAGAACCTAAATTGTCCCATTGCTTCTGCACTGTGTTACAGAAGAATGGGGGGCAAGGGATATGATTCTGAGGGACCACCAGTTCAGCATACAGGGGATTAGGACCCTTCGATGTAGTTGGAACTGGGGTCTCCTGTTCCTGAGTGATGATTCAGGGTGAGGAAGGGACCGTGGGGGTACTGGGGGTGGTTATGAAACAGAAGAGGCAATGAACTGAGCAACAGCCTGGGCTATCATAGCCTGGAATTGCTCAGGTCCTAATGCTTGAGACTCGGGAGGGTGGAGGCCTGCTGCAGTAGGAGTAAAGGTAGCCTGAGGCCCCGATGAGACAGTGCCCTGACCAGTTGACCCCTGTGTCCCTGAGGTGCCCGGATCAGTCTGGGGAATTTCCCTAGGGGGAGACCAGGCCCCTGGGGCCAAGGCACAATGGGTAGAAAGGGGCTCAAAAATGGACCCTCCTGCTGTGCTGGTGCTTGCTTGGCCTGGAGTAACTAACCTCAATCTAGGGGAGTCCTCCTCCAATGTATGATGACTGGTGGTCTCCTTGATTGATTTGGCTCGCTTGGAAAGTTGTGTTTTGGCCTTTAATACACTCCTCCCCACCGCCTCAATTGAGGCCTTGTATTTCTTTTTGGCAGGGGGGTTCAATGACGGATCTTTCTGCCAAGGTGACTAAAAACTCGAACTGACAAGCTGCAATAAAAATAGGTCAAAGTACTGAGGCAACAGGCTCTGAAGGCTCAACTTCAGTGAAAAGCGCCCCCCTTAGCATTGTAATTTCGCTGAAGGAGCCCAGTCGGATGAAGGTTGAGGCCCAGGTGAGGGGGGGCAGTGGGGGGTCAATCACCAGGCAGTGCATCCTTATGGAACGAGCTTGCCCTCCCCAAATTCAGCTGCAATGCTCCCATGAAGAAAGGTAAAAAAACAAAATGGCAGCTGTCTCAAAATGGCGGTCGCAACTGCACGCACGCCAAAAATTGCCATTGGAAAGGCCTCTGAGGCAGCAAGCTACCTAGCTGAGGCCTGTGTGGTCTGAAGGCCACACGACTGCAATCAAGCCCTCGTTCCCGAAGAAACACCTGTGCTCCTGTTGCAGCTCTGCTCTGATCAGATGGCTGGCGGTGTTGTCAGGGGAGGCAGCGCCAACTCCCAGGGATTCCAGATGATCTGAGAGGCCGAAGGCTCTTAAGAGGAGCCCTCCAGGCCTGAGAGAAGCTCGTCGCTCGCTTTCAGATCCCCCCTTGTTTTCGGATTCCCCTGATGATCAGCAGGCTGGCAGTGTCCTGGGGAAGCCCCGGATAGCGTCAGCGGTGATGCTGCTTGCTTTCGGATCCCCCCCGATGATCAGCTGGCTGGCGGTTTTCTGGGGAAGCCCCGGATTGACTCAGCATTGACGTAGCAATCGGGGGTGAATTGAAGCCTCAAGGCTTTAAAGACAATCAAGGGGGTGAGGTCTCTGGGGGATCGAAAAAGGAAAGGAAATGCACGATGGATCGTGCTAAGCCTGTCAGCCCAGCTGGACAGACAGGTGTCTGGAGAAAGCTAATATAGCCTTTTTCTCCAAAAGAGATAGTAATGTGATCTGAAAGTTCAAATAAGGGAAGGAATATAGGAAATTTAGCTGTACAAACTGTGTGAATACTTCTGCTTCTGGAGCTGAAGAAACACGTCTGTAGAGCAAAGAGACTAAGTCTAAATGGGGTGCAGATGGCACAGCGGAGGCGGTTCTACACTTCACACTTAGTCTTATTGGAGCAGGAAGATTAAGACAACCCATTCATGGATTCTCCATCCAATCATGCTGGAGAAGATCTCTGAGGTCCATTCCAGCCCTATGATTCTATATAACAGTTACACTTTGAAGATCATGCTGTAAATAAACCTTTACCTTCTTAATCCACTTGCTGTCCTTGCTTATGCAGTACAAATGGGCAATATAGACAAACAATATAAACAAACAACACAGAACAGATAGGTCATTGCTTATGTTCATGTGTGCATCAACATCAACCTTATTTAAATATCAAAAGTCTGCAATCAATCCATATCTGGAATTCTTTCTTCCAGCCACCTTTTTGCAGGCCTTCTGCCTTCTCTTTTGTCTCCTGGGCAGATTGAATATTCACTAACATTCCCTTTCAGGTTATTCAATCAGTTTCAACAGATAGCACAATGCAAAAAAGACAAATGACTGTAAAGTGCTTCATCAAATGTTATCATAATTTTAGTTATTAAGAAATTGCTTTGCAATGCCAAAAAGGTTCCCATTATTCTTCAGCAAAATAACAAAGTAATTATATTTAAAACAATAAACAATGTCAAGTGTTTATAGATTCAGACTTCCCCTTTCATTATGACCCCTTCTTAAACAAAATTATGCCCTACTGGACTGAATTGAGATCCCATAATTCATGCACAAGTAATCTATGATTCATCCCACAGAAGGTCAATTAAATGCACGCCTCTTGGACACACACATACACAGAGACATAAAAAACCACAATATTTAAACCTAATGAACCAAGCCACTACAATGGCTTGGAAGATTACAGTGAAATAAAATATATTTGTAAAGTGACAAATATTGTTTTTTCCTTAAGTGCTAACTGTATGCTGTATACTATATTTTTTAATTGTATGCATGTTATACTGATAACAATTCACTATCTACAGCTATTAACATACAAATACATATTTACATATGTGTCTCTATGTATATTTTACAATTGAAAGAAGTTTCACCCAGTTGTATGATCTAAAATATTTTCAACTAATGATCCTGTCACGTAAGTTCCCTATTGACTTATTTTCCCAGAAGAATATTCTTCTTCTTGGTAATGTTGCTATAGTTGAAATCCCTGGGCACAAGTTCAGAATGCACATCCCAAGTGACCCCTTCTCCATGCAGCTCTTTATTTTTCTGCCATTCCAAATTTCAGTTTCCTTCTCCCCAATTTGTTTTCTTATCAGCCAGATCCTGAGAAGATGGGAGAATAAGAATGGAGAAGGAAAGTGATGAGAAAGAAAAGTGCTGGGAAATAGGACAATACATCAGATAGTAACTGAATGGTAA